TTGGGGTGCTCAGCACCTTGGGGGGGGGATTTTAGGGTGCCCACCACCTTAAAGCACACGATTTGGGGTGCGCGGCGCTTCAGCGTGCCCCCCACTTTTTGGGGTGCAGAGCCCCCCCACTTTTGGGGTGCAGAGCCCCATTTTGGGGTGCAGAGCCCAGTTTTGGGGTCCAGAGCCCCATTTTGGGGTGCAGAGCCCAGCACCTCACACCTCCCGTGCAGCAAACCCCCCCCCCAGACCCCCCCTTTATCCGATTTGGGGTGCCGGGGATGAATTTGGGGTCTGCCCCCCGCAGCCCCAGCCCCATTCTTGGGTGGGGTGGGGGTCGATTTGCAGGGGGAAGAAGGATAAATGTGCCCCCCCCGGGGTGTAATCCCCCCCCCCCGCTGTAGGAGGGGGCACGGCTGCGTTTTGGGGTGGCTGCAGCGTGGGGGGGGTCACCTGCACCCCCCCCCATTTGCTGCTTCCTTTTTTTTTTTTTTTTTCCTATTTTTTTTCCAATTTTTCCTTCTTTAGGCTTTTAAAGGGAACAGTGGGGGGGGCATTTAAAAGGGGAGGGGGTCAATCCGTGTCCCCCCCCCCCCAAAAAAAAAAAAACCAACCCCAGCCCAGAGCACAAGAAGCCCCCACCCCACCAGCGGTTCGCAAAGCACAACGGCGGCGCCCCAAAAAGCGGGACCCCAAAAAAAATTGGGGGGGGGGGGTGGCAGGGCTGCACCCCCCCCCCTCACTTTGGGCACCCCGGGGAGGCTCAGCAGCCCCCCCCCACCAAGGAGCAGAGGCTGAGGTCTATGCAAAAAGCACTTGGGAGCCCCCCCCCCCCAGCCCTCTGAGCTTCATCTCGTCCTCGTGCCGTCCTCCTCCTCCTCCTCCTCTCTTCCTCATCTTCCTCCTCCTGCTCTTCCTCCTCCTCCTCCTCCTCCTCCTCTCCTCGCGCCCCCCCCCCATTTCGCTGTAGCTGGTCTTTTTCTCGGAGCACACCCCTATTTCTGTCCGTATGCAGTTCGTGCCGTGCTGTAGTTTTTAGATGTTTGTAAAGAATTAAAGAAAAAAAAACAACAAAATGATGAAAACCACGGAAACGACAAAAAAAATAATGAAATCCCCCCCCCCCCCCTTACGCCGTGTTACCCCAATAACACCCAGCGGAGCCGCTTCGGATCAGGACCAGGAGCTGTTTATTTTTGGGGTCGGGGTTTGGGATGGGGGGGGCGTGATGAGGGTTGGGGGGGGGCAAGTGTACATGGGGGGGGGGGGCAAGAGGTGGACGCCTTGAAGGTGGCGTGGAGAAAATCCCCCAAATCGCCCCCCAAAATTTGGAGGGGATTGAAAATCCTCCAAAAATTTGGGATTGATTGAAAATCCCCAAATCACCCCTAAAAATTTGGGAGAGGATTGAAAATCCTCCAAATCGCCCCCCAAAAAATCTGGGAGGGATTGAAATCCCCCAAAATTTGGGAGTGGATTGAAATCCCCCAAATTGCCCCTAAAAAATTTGGGAGTGGATTGAAATCCCCCAAATCGCCCCCCAAAAATTTGGGAGTGGATTGAAAATCCTCCAAATCACCCCAAAAATTTGGGAGGGGATTGAAAATCCTCCAAAAATTTGGGAGGGGATTGAAAATCCCCCAAATCACCCCCCAAAATTTGGGAGGGGATTGAAAATCCTCCAAAAATTTGGGAGGGGATTGAAAATCCCCCAAATCGCCCCCCCCCCCCAAAAATTGGGATTGGATTGAAAATCCCCCAATTGCCCCCAAAAATCTGGGAGGGGATTGAAAATCCTCCATATTGCCCCCCCAAAAAATTTGGGAGGGGATTGAAAATCCCCCAAATCAACCCCAAAAATTTGGGAGGGATTGAAAATCCCCCAAATCGCCCCCCAAAAAAATTTGGGAGTGGATTGAAAATCCCCCAAATCGCCCCCCAAAATTTAGGAGGGGATCAATGGGAAGGCGCAGCGCGGGCTGGGTGTGTGGGGGGGGTCACCCCAAAGCTGCGCCCCCAGATCCTCCATACCCTAAAAACGACCCCCAAAAAAACCCTAAAACGACCAAAACCCCCCCCAAAACCCCCATTTAGGGGCTCAGCATCACGCCGAGCGGCGCGCCGGCCCCGCGCCGCTCGTGCTTGGACCCCCCCAGGCAGGGGGCCGGGGGGGGACGTGGGGGTCTTGTTCCCACTGCTGGGGGGTCTTGGCGCACGATGGCGAGGGCGTGCAGGGGCCCGGCCAGTTCGGCGCTGAGGGCGGCGTGGATCAGGCGGTGCCGTTGGAGGGGGGGAGGCCGACGAAAAGCCCGCTCCCACCACCCCGAAAAGTTCGCACCCGGGCCACCGTGCCGGGGGAGTCA